TTAAGAGCAAACTAGTGCACAGGTGCTTTGGTAAAGAGAAGCACCTCCTGAGAGCAGATAAGAGTGATAAAAAGGCACTTATGACAACTAACTTAGGTTCAGCCTTATGCTCCTCATAACAAGGAAAAGAAACAAAAAGCGGTGGTATCAATGAACAAAAAAAACCAGCATCCGTCCCCTTACCTCGTTTTTGAGGCCAGTGTTCTCAAAACTCAAATGGTACATCTGGCAGTACTTGAAAACACATTCCAGTGCTTCCAAATCCTTCTTAGTGAGTTGAGTGCCCTTGAGAATGATGGCAGGAATTTTGGTCTTGGCAAGGGGAGAAGCTACTTTCTAGAAAAGAGCACTTAAGTGAGTAATGAGTAACGGAAAATCGCACTCTAATTATGATCAAATAGAAGCAGTACTTTTATTAATATGGGAGCAAAAAAGGCAGTAATGCCTCAAATATTTGATAAACACTCGAAGAGGATCGCCGTCAATAACAAAACGCGCATGGAAAGTTTGACTAATCCTGCAATGTGTCTGTCTGCTAAATCCAAATGAGGAAGAAAACGAATGACTCAAAATACCCAGTCGCAATTGGCAGCGAACTATCAAAACCCATGTTTGGTATTGGTCTTACCCGCCTCCAAGAGCATTCTTTTCACATGGAAATGAAGTTTATCTAAAAATATCACCTTGTTACTGTTTAGCTACCGTAAGCTACAGATTGGTTGGATGTCCTAACAGATTTAGGTTGATACCTAGGAGAAAATCCCGGTAAAGTAGAGCCAAAAAAGGAGAAAATGAAAAATGCAAATTCAACCCATATCTAACAAAACTTGATCGAGTCTAAAATTCCACTTCCTCACCGTGAGCTGTTCGATGATGCAGGAAAGGGGACGACAATTTAGCCGAAGGCAGGACTCTGCGTAGGAGTCCACGATGACGTGGTTTGGGGTCTCGGGATCTAGACACGCAGGATTAGAGGGTGTGACTATGAACTAACCGACACACCAAGGTTCACCGCCAGCAGTAGGAAGGATGGTAGCTAACTGAGCATCGTCCTCAGGAAATTGGACCCGCTTTTGGCGAGGGGCCGATGGTGACTGTAATTCTGAAGGGGTAACCTTTGTAAATCTGGTTACCGCCGTCTTGCTACCTCCTCTGGCCCCCTCCCTTTCATCAGAGAAGGCAAAAGTGGGGGGTTTCTTCTCAGACGTCATTCAGTGGCATTTGAAGGGACTAAGTGTAAAACAAAAAACAAGTCAAAATGTGCTTGAATTAAAAAGCATTATCATAGGCAGCATAGTAATAACAATTTCAATATCAACTAATAATATTGAGAGTATGCAAAAGTTGCAGAAATAGGACCGGTGAGAGGCAGGTAAAAATAGACAGTTATTGAGAGTTCTCCTCGAATCGATCGATTTAAGGCTTAATTAAACTAAAGATGCATCAGAGGATGGAATGCAAGGAACCTTTCGAACTCGTTATAAATATCAGGACTGAACAGAGCAAATTCAAAGCTATCAAATTAAACACGTTAACTTACTAAGATAACAAAACAAATGTGCATTCTCTTTACCACGCATATGATATCCTTTAAATTCTATTCGATGTAATGTACAGTTACCGAAGAGTTCACACGCAAATCCTACCGTATACTGCAAATAACAAAGAGACAAACTAAAACTTATGTGAGTACTACAAGACAGTTACATAGAATCGAAAGACAAACGAGTTTCGTCAAGGCCCACTTTATTAAAATCCGTGCCTTGAAGCTATTGGGTTTGAATTTTAGGCTTCGATGAGAACAAACGAAAACAGCCGGTCAAGGTTAGATAAAACATATTTATTAAGGTTTGGAAATATTATAACAACCTTTATTAATTGCAGTAGAAATCGGTGAACCTGGTATTGTGGACCGATTCTGTTGCAAATTAATTAAATCGGTCCTCACCTGCAGAATTTAG